GAATTACTGCGGAACTTCACGTCTCGGTCGCGAAAAACGCGCGACAGGAAAGAAAAGGTGAATTTCACCGCGGGAAATTCCACCGACGAGGATTATTCTCGCGGGAAGGGTGCGTCCCCTTCCCGCCTCATCCCTCTGTTCTCTTCTATTCCTCTTAACGCTTCCCACCACGTCGGCAGCTGCGTTTGCGACGCGCTCGAGAAGCCCGCCGCTTCAGAAGAACGACACGGCTCTTCTTGAAAATGCTTTATTTTACTGTTACTGCCAGTTCCAGCGGGTCCCGGCCTCGTTACTGTCGAAGCGTCTCCGCGTGGTGAGTAACGCGGGATTTGAGTTTGCGTAAACCATACTTGAGAGAGGACGAGCGCGCGGCGGGTTGTCTCTAGAGAGAGAGAGAGAGAGAGAGAGAAAGAGTACGGGGATCTACGAGCGGACCACGATAAGAGATTTTAAGAATCCAAGATGGGGCTCTCAATGTCCTCCCGGTCCGTTCAGACTTCACATCCTCGCCGCTCTCCGCGAATCCGCTCCGATGTTTCTTCTCCTCCATTTTTTTTCTCCACCCTCTTACTGTTTGTCCGATGTAATGGCCCACCGACGAATCGAGTTCTATCCTATGCGAACTCCGAAATGACGCCGTTATCATTAAGAACAGTCTTATCGGTCGTAGGGAGTGACCATTATCTCCGAACTGTTTCTACGCCCGTCCGATGAAGACGTTCTTTCTTTCTTTCTAGATATGACCTCGTTGGTCGGATCTAAAAAGTCCCGGTGATTCCGCGGAAAGTAAAGGTCCGCAAATGCCCGTCGATATCGCAACATCACGTGATATCGAGACGTGATTGGATCACCAGAAAATCAAATTGTATTTCCACTCCGGAGAGACCGTCCGAATCTCGCACGATCTCCTCTCAATGTCTTCTTTTATTATTTTCACGAGGAATCCACGTGTCCCATGATCCACGTTGATTAACATTTCTGTCATAATTTCAACCGTTTTAAAGTTAGAAACCTCAACACGTGACGTGGTGATGTTTTTTAACGAGCAGCGAGAATATTTTCGTTGATTGTGTAATGCGGAATCGCCGGACGTCTACGGAATGGCAGGCGGTAGCCATAAAAATAATGGCGGGACGGTCTTTTCTCGTCGTTCTTCTCCAACGAGCAGTCGGCCTATCGATCCGCGGAATTTTTTTATTGCCGTTGTCCTTCTCTCTCTTTTTCACTCTTCCTCTCTCTTTTTCTCTCTCTCTCTCTCTCGCTCACTCTCTTTCTTTCTGTCTTTCTCTTTCTCTCTGGACGAGATCCCTTCGTCAGCTAAAAGAAAGTAAACATCGGGAAAAAATTCGCACTCACCAAGTGTTTGCTTAGGTCTCACGGGAGGAATATCATCTTGTGCCTTCTGACGAAATTGGTGACATAACTTCGCGTCATCTATACTCGTTTATTAACAACACACACGTTGTTGCGCGCGCATGAGAAAATGCGCGCGCAATATCGAGTTATTTAATTCAATTATTTAACAGAAAAACGTACTTCGACAAATCGGAGCGACGATAATCTGACGTGTCTCCGAGGGGTACTTCGTCTAATTTTGTCGAAGGAATTCCATTTGTTACGACGAAGAGACTGATGACGATGTCGCGTAATAAATTCGCGACCGAACGAGTCTCTGACTCATCGCGGAAAGCGCAATGGAAATTCTGCGATTCGGATGCTTCTCATCGGGGCGCATTTCAACGTTAGAAACCGTCGCGATCGACTGCGAACACACAGGCAAGACACACCGCCGTGAACTTCTATAACTTATTACGCAGTTTCGGATTTAACGGAAACCAAATGGGAGGCTCGTCTCTCTCCTCGCAAAGTCGTAAAGACGCGAAGAGCGCGCGCTTAACCGGAAAGTTCCCGATTATTTTTCCGGACGATTCCTTCCCGCTACTCTTCGGCAACCGGGAGGCCGGGTTTTACCGTTATTGTAGCGGGGAATCGAAGGAAATCAAAATGTCTTCTGCGAAACTGCTGTCCGCCTTTTCTCGGGATAATCCAGAAACGGCAAAAGGTCAATCGCCGTTTCGTCGAACGCGAATAGCCTCGTAAATGCTTCCTGTCTTGCGGCGGAAATAGCACGCCGTGTGCACACGAATCAATATTAAATGCAACATGTATTACATACACACACACACACACATACGCGCGCGTATACATATATTATATGAAAAAGCGAGGGAGAGAGAGAGTGTCTAACAAAAGATGAGATTTTGTAAACAAGCAGCTTTGTAAGCAAGAAGATCTTTCAGACCGTTGTTCACGAATTATTTAGACACGAGCTTGTAAATGCCTTTGTTTCGACCGAGAGTGTATAAAAGCTCATTATTGCGGTAATATCAAACATTAATCTACATTTGCGTTGAACTGAATTACCGGACATTGCGTTTGAACCGACGCTTTTCATTGTGCGATCACGATGTGTTTTCGTTGATCCCGAATATTTTATTCCACTCCAATATTTACTTCGTCTTTATGTATAGGTACTATTTCCATTGTGAGAGACTTCGTTTAAAAACGCGTATTTTTCTCGCGCAGCAATATTTTCTTTCCGCAATTTTCTCTCTCATTCGCTCGCTTTTTGTCAACGGGTTCTTATTGTAATTACGTTTTCCTTTGTTTGTTCAAATTCGTCAGACGTTCTTCTAACCGAGTCTTTGCAAAAGTGTAAATCGAAATTCGCGGGTTTCTTTCAAACAAGTTAATATCGTTCCGCTTGCAACGACATTGTTCTCCTCAAAGATTTCGTCTGGACGGGTTAGGTCGACGGGACAGATCGGCCACGTCTACGTAGAGCCCGTGCCTCGGAGGTCAGGATTAGTAAAGTTCAGCTGATGCCGTAGCAAGCCCCGGGGAAGGAGAAACGGTCCCTAAGCGAGTGATAAAATTCCTTTCCAAGTTATATTAACGCCGTTAGTCGTACCCACGGTGCCCCCGGACGAACTTTAATCGTGAATAATGAAGGAGCCCGGCGGCGATTATTTTTCTTGCAGAAGGGACCGCGCCGGCATTAGAAGCAGCCCTCGAACTTGGACGCGCGGCCATTTTTTGCAGTTCACAAAGAATCTTTGCCGAGCGAGAAAATGGACTGACCTGACTTCTTGCTCGTCGTTTGATTCTCGACGGCATTTATCGTAAATTATAGTATTAAAGATGACCTAGAGAGAGAGAGAGAAAGATGAAAGATAGATAGATAAAGAAAGATTTGTCCTTTTAACTTTATGACTTTTAATTTTGTGGCTTTAGTCGGTGCACTTTTGTACTAATCGGCACTTCCCGTATACATGCATCAGTTTAAATTGAACGCTCAGCAGTAAAACAGATCGTAAGTTGTTTTTTATTATTTTTCAAATTAAGGTAGTGTCTCTCTCGACGAATAGCCGTAAAAATTCACACCGCAATTTAATTGTTCGCTGCGAAAGAGGAGGCTGTTTATTAAGACGTTAAGATCATATTTCTCGCGATGGATCGTGTTACATCCGCGCTATCAATGTCGGCGCTATAAAAGTTCTTAAAGTAGTTCTTTATAGAGGGCGAATGGCTTCATTTGTAACAGCGTCAGACAAAACCGCCGCTCGTGATGGTAACCGTTAGGGCGAATAATAAATTGGCAGACAATGCCCGGGAGGGAGGATACCAAAGTGCACAAAGAATGCTTGCGTCAGCTATCATCTGTAGCTCGCAGGCGGAAAGAAGAATAATATGGCCGTTCGGCACCGGCGTAATTCACTTTCGCGGAATATCGTGCCGTTTCCAATAATTAGTGTCGTTGCCGGTGATTGCGGAAGCTTTTTGAGAGAGAAGATATCTCGACGTGTTCGATATCGAACGAGACACAGAACGATAATAAGAGAGAAAAGTAACAAATTATATGCTTCTGCCTGTCGTACTGCCTGCGGTGGCGTAACAAAAGTTTGAAAATGCGAACGACGACGATTCGATATCGCACTTGAAAGAAAAAAGCTGAAGAAAAAAAAGAACAAGATAGAGAAATTTTTCGATAGAAAAAATACGTACAATTGTTCAGATGTGTAATTGAATATTTTCTCTGTTGAATATTTTATCGTTGCTTTATCGCGCTCGAGGAAATTTGTCGAAATAAGATCGCGAAATTTGACGCGACCATTATGTGATTATATTCGACGCGTAAAATGATCCTACAAAGGAAGGCCGACGGAGGACGAAGGACCCAGAGGAGACTTAGCACCAGAATAGGATGCTATAATCTCATTTGTGGGGTAATGTTGGTGCATAATTCCTCGCAGTGAGTAGCATAACTTTGTACTCCCTCCGAGGAACTGTACCAAACTGGCACAGCCTACGGGAGAGCGGCGGCAACTTTACAAACTCGCGAGTAGTTGCGTTGACGGCAGTGTATTTCTCTTCCTTACAGGGAGAGAGAGAGAGAGGAGGTTTTGTTTGGCTTTCTATGGATAAATTCTGCAGCATCTGCGGACTTGTGCGATCGCCGCAGGTGTTTGTTGCTCTACGAACTGATCAAACGTGTAACAAGAATAGTTCGAGTTTCGATTTGGCGGTTGTTGTTTGATTTTTAGCCAGTTTTGAGTTACCTAACGATTTTAATTGTATTTGCGCGAAACTGCAGAGCGTCAAACTTTTAATATCAATAACAATGTAAAAAGAGATCGGTCGATTAAATAAATTAAACAATATTGAAACAATGTCATCAATTTAAAACAATATTATTATTAAAACGATATTGACAATATTAAAACAATATTATATCATTAACAATATTAAAACACAATATTGTTAATGAAACAATATTATTGCTTAATTATTTTTCTCTCGATAATTATTTTTCTCTTTTTGATTAACGTCAATTTAAGGCGCAGAAAAAAAGCCTATTATAACCGCTTTAGCTTAAGTGACTCCGAAAGATACTTACATTGCTTCAAATTCCTAACAAGATCTCTTTTCTCTTCTTTCAGACATGCTACGAGATGGAGAGGTACCTGAAGGACGAGCCGAAGCTGCAATCGTACAAAAAACTCCCCACGGAACTCGACACAGCACCCTGGAACCTCTTCAGGGCGCCGTCGATTTCGTGGACGTCTACCGGAACAAGCGCACAATTCGACCCCCCAATCAAAATGGAGGTATGTAATTATTTATATTGCACGAGATGTTTGCAGATTAAAGACTAATCTGATTACCTGTCATCTTTAATTATCTCAAATCCATTGTTTCTGCATGCGCGTTCATAAGTAATTAAATAATCTTAATTATTTTTTTAACGTACGTGCTACTTTCTCGCGCTTTTGTTTTTTGTTTTTTTTTTTTTATTGTTTATTTATATTTTCAGTAGCGTTAATTTCTGTTAGTTTGGCGAGCGTTGTTCACGACAAAAATCAAAACCGCGCTTCTTCTTTACGAATTAGGTGACGACATCAGATGAGAGGGATCCCCTCTGTCTGGACGATATGAAATTCAGTCCTGGCGATCACAATGACAACGGTCGCGACAGAGATCTCCTCGATCGTCATCTCGATTCCCTGTCGATGTCCTCGTCGAGTTCAGCGTGTTCAGCACTGTCTTGGGACAGTTCACCCTCCCTCTCCTGCACGGCGCTCATTCTCAAAAAGGAGCCCAGCGAGGATCTTGAGGAGGATGAGGAACACGAGGTACATTTTCACATTTATTTTCTCATTAATGTTTCATTTTCTCATTAGTGTTTCATTTAGTGTTTTACTCGAAATTTAATCGAAATCAAGACGATTATCTAACACAATTTCACTAAGTTTCTATTTTTTTATTCGCGAATCATATAAAAATTATCATTAAAATAATCGTCGATTTCCTGCAGACGTGTTACTTGAGAATTGAATTCGATTTCTTTAAATTCCTTTGCCGATCTTTCAAACGCGACAGTGATTCGAAACTCGCGGAGATTTTCGATTTATATTGTTGCGATTCGATCACGACACGTAATATCGCGAGAGTCGCGCGATGCGAGTCGTTCTCAGTTCTTGCCGCCGGTTTCATTTGCCTGCGCCGTAACAAGTCAAAGGTACCCAATAACGATCTCCAGCGGAGCGCGATTCATCGATCCCGTTCAACGCAATCTCGTTGCATAATACGTTGCAATTTTATCGCCGCAGGAGATCGAAGAAGAGGAGGACAGCGGGTGCGAAAGCGAAGGTCAGATCCTGACGCCACCGTCGAGTCCTGGGTCGGGTCAAGGTCATTCCAACTCCAGTCACTCGTCGAGCGGGAGTTCGACGCTCGACGTGCACAACCTCAACCTTCACGGCAACGGCGGAAGGAGCGCAATCGTCAGGGTTACCACTAGCAACGCGCAGAGTGGCACAAGGTAAATAAAACTCGTGCGTTTAATTGCGTGTATACTGCGCTTCCGGGTCAGCGAGTATTTTCTCTTCGACTTGTCATCGCTTATTCTTTAGGTTGATGAAAACTTAACGACCTTCAACGTGATACGACACAGACGACACAGACCGTTTCTCGCTCGGGAATTATCTTGATTAACGGTAAACGGAATTCTCCGAACGTAAAGTGCTTTCCGGTTCAGTTTGTCCTGTCTACTTCTCGTTCTCGGCAATTTTCCGTGGAATTCGCAAAAAAGGTCCCGGCTCGCGTCAAAAAAGCTCGACATTGTCGGGAAGTGGCTTCTGAACGTTGTCGATTCGTCCCCAGCTGCCTCTCGAGTAAGAAGCCTAAAACAATTCGCTCCGTCCGGCGATCCGTCATTAAACCGTCGCCGGAATTGCGGCTCTTTGCGATTCACTCGCAGCTCCTTTCTTTCCGAGAGACGGAGACATGCGCCGATTACTCATCGCTCAAGCGATCACGCTACTCGCTACTTTGTGCGCGTTAAAACTTGTTAAAGTAGCGGACCGTAACACGCACGGACGAAACGAGCTCGTCGGGCACGTCCGTCGCGCCTCGACAGCGCGCAACGAGGCTAATTGTAATGAGGCTTATGGCAGCCAATCGAGAGGAAGAAAATCGTTTCTCTTTTTATTTTTTTGCAGAATGATCTCCGTCACAGCGAACGGCTTCTCCGCGGTCGCCGGCACGCAACACGCGCACGCGGGCACGACCACAGCCGCGAACAACGTGGCCAATCGACACCACGCGAGGAGCAACGAGCACAGTCCGCCTGACACGAAGCGCAGGATACACAAATGCCAGTTTCCCGGCTGCAAGAAGGTGTACACCAAGAGCTCGCATCTCAAAGCCCATCAAAGGACGCACACGGGTGAGTGAATCGACGTTAATCGCGGCAATTCCAATGACGATCTCGTGGGGCTACATGTTGAAACCCGCGCCGGAGGGGGTTTTGTCAATGAATCGGCATCGCTGACGCGAATTAATCCGACAGTTAGCCGCGACACAAGCGACCATCACAGTGAACCGAGAGATAATCACAGCGGGTGGTTGCGCGTCGAACCACGCGCGACGATTACGACAAAATTTACACGTGTATAACGTGAATGAATACAAGCGGAGAGAATACGCCGCGAGTTGTGACAAATTTTTCAAACCATTCGCCGCCCCGACGTTCGCGTTACGTCGGGAAACAACGGCGTAATAATTAATTACGGAGCCGAATTAGGGACGCGCTTCTCTCGTTATTCGCGTCGACGCGCCCGCTGCTCGCGATGATATCTCGCTCTGACGAAACGAAGCAGACAAATGTGTAGCGCGCGCGCACACACACATACCTCGCGTTGCATTTATCTCCGAATCAAAACATCCACCCGGCATCGCGTGCCGCTCTAATTGGCTATTATCGTCTACGAGCATTTTTCTGCTCTTTGTCTAGATAAAGTCTTTCGAAAAGCGAAATGCACACGTGGCGCACGACGTGTAAATTGAACTCATTTCAGTCCGTTTTCCATACGTAAGTTTGTGCCGATCGATCTTCGAGGTAGATTTTCAACGCGGCTTGATAGTGGGTTTTTTTTTTTTTTTTTTTTTTTTTTTTTTTTTTTTTTTAATTTTTGTTCCGCTGCAATTGCGGGGAAAAATATGTGCTTAAAAAAAAATAATTACGTCAAACGTCTCGTAGAAATAATAACCGCCAAGTTTTGCGCGCCAAGAGTTTATTTACATTACATTATATTCTGTGCTCGAGCGCGTTGTATGTACATCCGTTCTCTCTCGGTATACATACATACTTGTATTATTTTACGAAACACGACGTGGTCGTCTCTCTTTGTTGTTCTTACTGAGACTCTCCGTGTATTTTCGACGGAACGAGGGAAGTTTTCCCTTTCGCCGTAAGGAGCAACGTACGGCTCCTTGCCGCGCTTTTCCGTGACGCGCGCGCCTTGACTGTCCGAACGCGCGATATTACCGTGAGAGGTCCTCCTCTTCGGCCGATCCTCTTCGTGGTCGCTTGCGGTGAGCAGAGGCAGGCAGAGGGACTGTAATTAACGAACTCTCGTGTTCTCCCTCGTCTCTTTCGTCTTCTCTCTTCTATCACTGTCTCTCGGTCTCTCTCTCTCTTCTATCTCATGCTCTTTATTCACGGTTTTTGTCGCGTCACACTCAGGCACCACGGTTTCGCCGGTCGTACGTACGGTATATTCTGCGGTACGTGTTCTCGGCGCCTCTACGTGTGTCTCTCCCGAGTGTGTGTGTGTGTGTGCGTGTTTATGTAGTTTAAGCGCGGTCTTTCTCCACGCCGCGGGTACGGCGAGAAAACAAGCGAGACGGAGAGCCAGAGAGGTAATAAGGGACGGGTTGGCCGGGGACGCTTCCATCGTGTAGCGTGGCAGGTACGTCGGGATTGCTTCTCGCGGATCGTTAAGCAGAACTGCTAACTACGGGATTATGCATACTGCGGGACTCGTCCCGCAATTATGACTCTGTTATGAATTCGTCCTGACACAAGGATCTCTTCCCCTCCGTCCCACCCCTCTGTCGGCGGAACGGCCACGCCAGACGACGAACGGCCGCGACACGTAGGACGTTTATCCCCGAGACATTGGCGCGCTGCAAAATTGTAAAGGTCACGGATTCGCGACGCGTCTCCTCAGCTACCGCGATTCTTCCACGTGTCCTCGACGTCCGCGTCGTCTATCACGCGCGCGAGTGATCGAGCAATATTCTGCTTCGCAGGTTGGATAAATGTCATTTGCGTTTCTTGTGTTTTTCTTGAGATTTCCTGTGTGTTCACAGAAATGTAATTTTTCTCAAAATGTTTTTGTATTTCGTTTCTCAACATGTGAGATTACGTTTGATTCACTAATATTGCATCACAAGTAAGTTTTACTCGCAAATTTTGTCTCTTTATTACCTTATGAACGTAACGAGGTAGATATTTTCGAGGAAAGACAAAGAATTTTCGAAAAGCACGCTTTACGATCCTCGCGTCTTGGGGAGCATTACAACGTCGCAACTATACATATATATTTCCCGTGGTTATTGATTACATCTATCGCTTCTGCATGAGGAAATTTCTCTCCCCGCGATCTCTCGTCGTCAAAAAAGTTCGGCGCTCTCTGAGAGTTCGTTCGGAAGAAAAACGACGAACGCCGGGAAACTTCGGAGAAGAGAGAGAGCCTTTCGCGGGGATGGAAATGGCGGTAGACTTTGATCTCACTCGACAGAATCTAATTACCCTGCGGACAGGACCTCTCGCTAGCGAAACGAAGCGAGTCGTCGATCGCGAGTCGAAGACGATGTCGTCGTCGTCGTCGTCGTCGTCGTCGTGAAGGTTCGTTACGAATTCCATCATCGGCGAAGTTTCCCTTCGGAAGATCTCTCTCCCCGGTATGTAGATATTTCGCGTTGCAGAGAATTCAGAAGATACCGCGCGATCTCTCTCTCCGGTTGCATCGATCTTGCCTTTAACAACCGAGACCGACATGTCCGTCGGATCGAATTATATCTTCGAAGACAACGAGCTTAGCGCCCCTTCCCCGACTTCGCCGAGTAATCCGATTAGACGATTCAACAGTCACAAGATCTCGCTATCTTGTTAATTCCTTCTAACGAACCGATCAGACGTTATTACGAAAAAAACAGCGAGATATATAACTTGCAGTCTCGGTCTCTCTCTCTCTCTCTCTCTTTCTAATCTTGTCTCAAGACCTAATTTTCCGCTCTTTTGACGCGCGAAGTTTGCTTCAAATGAGTGTGTATCTCGCCGGACTCCAAGAAAACGACTTCAACTTCGTCGAAATGTCTTTAATCCCGCGTTGGTCCACAGACAGCGAGAGAAAGTTCTTCTCGCGCGATATAATAATTTCCACATTTTGCCGTCTCGTTGTATCCCCCCCGTCTCGTCGTTGTTTTACACGCCTATGCATAAAACACATAGGTTTCTCTCCACCTGCCGTTTAAATCGCACCGCTCACATCCGCGAGTTAATTAAAACGTTTAACGGATTTCGGACTTGCGCGGAGTCGGGGTTAATTTGAGCGGAGCGGCGGGCGCAGCGCTCGCGAACGGAACACGGCCGCGATTTTTCATCGTCACTCACAACGCGCGCGCGCGGGCAGATTTACATGGAATTTGTGTAATGCGCGATGAGAAGAAAGCTCGGTAATTACGTTAATTATAAATCATAAAAGGGAGGAACACGGAAGGAAGAGGTGTGTGTGTGTGTGTGGGAAGGGAGGAGGAGAATAATAATGTCGGAAGAAAAGCACGTGGATAAACTCTTGGTCGTGTTTCTTCCGTCTCCCACCTCTCGTCCGCACAAGAATAAAAACCGGACTAATTCTTCTTTCTCATCGTGCTTATCCTTCTCGCGTATTAGGTTCGTCTCCGCGAAATCCTTTCTCGCTTGCACGGGGCGTTCTTCTCGTATCCCGCGATTTTCCCACGAGTGTCAAGGAACTATCGATCCGCGCCGTGTGCTCGCAGCCTCGCATTGGCTCCGCGTATAACGACGAGAGAAAGAACGGCGTAGGGGGAAAGAGAGAGAGAGAGAGAGATTTCCAATTACAGGGACCTTTCCGTTCTGGAATTCCATTCCGAACGTCATTGTTCTCGCGTCGCGCGCCGCGGACAGGACTTTGATCCTTCGACGGTGGGCCCGATCGTTCGCCTCGCCCGAGACACTTAACAGTCCTCCACTTCGGAAAGTGGATTGTCAACACGTATGAATCGAGCATAACGAAGAGAGCGATTTTTATCTCTTCTTTTGTGCCCGGATCACACAGCGCGGGATCACGTGGGTGTTCAAAAGTAAAAGAAAACGAAACGTTTTGATATATAAATTTTTTATTTTATTTCCGTTTGCATTTAACGACGCGCTCTCGTTTATGAAATTCTCAAAGAAGAACGGGAAGCTGGAAATGCGATTATAAATGATTCGAGGATGATAATGCGCATCCACATCGCGCGCGCGCGCGAACACATACACACACACGCGCGCATACTTTGGCGCAATAGAAAACTTTGCTTTAACGGAACGCGAAGTGTACGAGAAGTACAGTGGCGCGCGCTCGAAAGAAGAGCCCAGCTGAGATTATGAACGGAGATCGAAGTAGGTCAGCCAGAGAGCACAATAATTTAAGCGCTTTAGAAGCGCGCGCGGCTCTCTTCGCGGCGATCTTAAATCAAACGAAGAATGGAACGAGCCGGCTCCGTCGGATTTATTTATCAACGTAGTTCCGCGACGATGAATCCCGCGCTGTCGAAAACAGTCTGCTTATACACAGATCGGGTACTTATGCGTTTCCTCAGACGCGTTGGTGTATCCTGCGAACAATAGAAGAGATCCGGCGAGAGGATGTATATATATCGACACAGGGGAGGAAAGCAGCGTAATCGAATTAACCATAAATCCGGCGCATTTCCGCGCAAATGGATATTCGTGATTTATATACCTGGCGAGAGTTCGAAAGAAAACGAGCGACGCGCGATCGCCTCGGCTAAAACATTACACAACGAAGCGAGCGAATAAATTTGCAAAATGGAGAAACGACTCTCTTCGAGTTTCCCGCGCTCGCGCGGAAAATGCATCGCTTTCTCTTATACATACATATATATATCGATGATTCGTATCGGATTTCTTTTGCCTCTCTCGCGCCCGTATTTAAATCTCTGTTTTATTTCGACGTAATATTTATGCGTCGAAATAAATGTTTTTGTTCCATAAAATGGACGAAACGCGCGCGCTCGTGTGCGTTTGATTATCGAAACGGGGCGCGCTGAAATTGATTGTGCATAAAATTTCACGTTTGCGTGAATTCTCGGTTATAACTCGATTAGCACAATTCTCTATATTAATACGCGGAT